ACATTAGCAAACATTTAACAGTGTTAGTATATTTAATGCCAGTTTGCTTTATTCTCAACAAATTACCATGCAATTATGTAACCATGTAACTTTACCATGTAACTGATTTAAGTAATTACCATGGAATTATACTTTGTAATTGGATTAACAATTAATTACAATGTTATATTACCATGTAATTGATTTCTAATTACATGTAATTACCATGTAGATTTACTATGTAAATGTAATACAAATAATTACCAAGTAATATTAATTACCATGTTATTGTATTACAAATTAATACCCATGTAACTTTGACCATGCCATGTTATTGGAATACAATTAATTACCATTTAGTTTTACCATTTATTTGTGAAAGGTCTTGTTTATTTTATTGTCACCCCTACTGAAAGGGCCAGCTATTTCTGACTTATGAGACACCTTTTTGCTTGCATACCATGTACCTCCCAACTCCTACCACTACGCCAGGTGGATAAAAATCGGTAACCATTCATTTTAACTACCTCGCAGCCCACGAAGCCGCCATTTCAGAAAGATTCCCATGAGAAACATTCATGCTTCAATTTACGCTCCCCGTAGGGCTCAAACCTTCAACTCTCCATCCAAATGGTGGACACCTTAACCACTAGGCCAATGGTACCAGTTATTTGTATTAAAATTAATTACCATACAGTTTTACCATGTAACTGATTAACAAGTTAATAACCATGTAATTTTACCATGTCATATCATTGCAAACTGCAATTTTTTCACCAGCAAAATAAATGAACATAATCTAAATATTACTTTTTAATTAACAAGTATAATGCTGTACCTGTGCACCCACAATTGAAAACTGAAAAAATTTTCAATATCAGATAATTATTAACTTCTTAGAGTTTTAATAAGCTTTTTTTCATGTCAAAATGTTTCTTTATCTTTTTTTGTCAAAATTTTTTAAATAATTTTATGTATTTGAGTAATTAGCGGTTTAACATTACGCGAATCAGGCGATCACAAAAATTAAAGACTACCTGTATTTTGTCATGAATAACTGTTAAATAAAATATAGGGAGAAAATGAAACCACAAGGCTATTATTTAGTACTTAAAAAAAAACATGACCACACTGGTTCTTTCAAAATACACCTTAAATCTATCATTTAAAAATAACCGTGTTTTACCAAACTTTTACGTTACTTTAAACACCTTATTCTAACTAATAAGGGTGGGGTGTTGTCATTTTGTGTACGACCATATCAACCTGTTACTAATGGTCATTCAACTATTTAAATGTCAAGTTTTTATCTTGAATAATTCCAGAACACAAACATTTTATAATAAGAGTTTTACAGAATGGGTTATTTTGGAAAATTTTGGGGGTGGGGAGGTGGGGATGGCTAAAGAATATCTATTTTTTTTTACAAAAATTTATATATGAGTTTTCAAGAATGGGTCATTTTGGAAAAGTTACCGGAGGCTAAAGAATTTTTTTTTACCTTACTACATCAGCCTTGAGTATAATCGTGTCATTAACTCCCTTTTCTATATTATAATTGATCTGCATCGGCATTATGTCACGTATATATATGCGTTTTATTTCCTATATAATATTATATGTTCAACACGACCATGCACGTATATTCCATGTACAATCACATACACGATATTTTCACTCTTTTTCTCACGTCACCGTGTAATATATCCCATAATTAATCATAATCCAGTCTTTTCACGATCTGACATCCCATCCTTACAACTTTTAACTAAACACTAATTCATTGAGGTAAAATAAGGTATATCTTCAAAATATTATGAATATTTTCAACGAGAAACCACAACTAAAGTGAAAATAAAAACTAAAACTGTATTCCAGATAAACGTTAACCCTCCAATCAGAAGAATGCAGAGACGACGCAGTCCTTCTGCGACATTATCATATAAAACATGTAGAACTGCATCGAATATCCACGTAATTGAATAATAGCCGAGCTAATTTTATTTCATGCAACATTACAGTTTCCGCCCCAACAGAGCAAAACTGATTTACCATCTAGTACTATACAATACTACAACCCAATTAACCATATACAAAACAGTTCTTTTTAGGAATAGAGCAACATGATGTTGCAGTAATGTTAAACTTTAGATATATTCAAGGGAAGAATTTGAGACCACTATCTGGTTTTTTTGCGCGGTAATATTACCGCAAAAATAGCATCAATAAAGATTTCCATCTGATGCATCTATGGATATTCTAACAAATATAAACTATCAGTGATATCAAAATAGGCAGTCTTTTGAACAAGAATAATTCTGAGAAATAATTCTTAGCTTCAGTGACCTTGACCTCGGCTGTATTAACTGCAACCTAACAATACTTGGTGACTACACACCAAATATTTCAGTCACTGACAGATTAAATTTCAAGTTCTCATGACTAAAAATAGAAACATCTATATCTAGTCTCAGTGACCTTGACCTCATTTGACCTTAAAACCCATGCAGGCTTAGAAATCCATGTAAAGTCCTCATGACTAAAAATAGAAACATCTATATTTAGTCTCAGTGACCTTGACCTCATTTGACCTTAAAACCCATGCAAGCTTACACAATCCATGTAAATTTCCATGACTTTAAAAGATAGAAACATCTCTATTTAGTAACAGTGACCTTGACCTCATTTGACCTTAAAACCCATGCAAGCTTAGACAATCCATGTAAATTTCAATGACTAAAAATAGAAACATCTAAATTTAGTGACAGTGACCTTGACCTCATTTGACCTTAAAAGCCATGCAAGCTTAGACAATCCATGTAAATTTCCATTACTAAAAATAGAAACATCTATATTTAGTCTCAGTGACCTTGACCTCATTTGACCTTAAAACCCATGCAGGCTTAGAAAATCCATATAAAGTACCCATATCTCTCCAATAGTTGTCGAATGAAGTGTGATTGGCACAAGTTGGCAACTGTTGTGCTTTCCCAAAACATACCCCCATACCCACTACCCTCTTCTCAAATATCCTACTACACTATACTCTCTTTAGGCATAAGCATCTAACATGTTATTAAAACATTATAAAAATGTTATAAAAACTTCTGTTTGGCCTTTCTAAATAAGGACAATTTTACTCATTTCTGAGGCATAATGTGACTTTAAGAATTAATAATAATTTAACAAAGAACATATAATATTTCAACTACCAGAAAACACCAAAACAATACAAAAATATTAAAAACAGTAAATACTTAACTACAAAAAAAAATTTTGACTACAAAGCTTCTGTAAATTAACATGAATCTTTTTGATGCAAAAGCTTTTGAAAATCTTCAGAATTCTTATTCCAAAAGGTGAATGCTGACAAAAATACAACACAGACAATGTCAAGTTCACCTTGAATAAAGCTCAGGTAAAAAGAACTAAATTAAAACATTATTATTACAGAACAATAAGAGTTTTTCTAGCAACAGGCATCTAGTATAAAGAGGGTGCATCAAACTATTCTCAACTATTGTTGTACAAAGTGTATAATATAAACAAACTAAAATCAAACTAATAATCAACAAGTGTTTCAACTAAAATACAACAAAGTGCACACATCTAAGTGTAAAAGACTAATTTTAACTATAAATACGAAAAGAAATGTGTTCTTAGATGTCCAAGTTTCGAACGAGAGACTGCAAATGTCTAAAATTCAAGCTGAAGACTGATCTGTGTAGGATTCAAACTTAAGACCACAGATAGCAGACACAAAATGCTCAACCTAAGGGATCATACTGTCGGTCAACATGGTTGCAACAATTTCATAAGATTGGCGGTTATCTTTGCATTATGGCTACAGAAACTGGCGATTACATTTTACATCCAACAGTGATAATATAAAGTGTCAATAAAGAATGCAGTAGCAGCAAGGTGGATTTGAACACCATTGTCACAGTCTTGTCCTGTCTTAATCAATATATGCATATATCCCGGGTGTAGATTTTCCAGGGTAAGCCTGGAAGAGAGGCTGGTAAACCCTGGAATACTATGGAAAAGCATGGAATTCCATGGAAATTCATGGAAAATTGGTATTTTTTCCATGCTATGTGGACTTTTTTTGTCCAGCCATTTCCAGCATTGCTGGAATAGGCTGGAAATTGCCTGTACAAAATTTTGGCACGGATTCTGGGCGTAAATGGCACGGAATTGGGATGGAATCATTGCTTTCTGGGCGGACTAAGCACGGAAAAGCAAATTCCGTGTCAGTCCGCCCCACACGGAAAACATTTCTGGGCGTAAAACAAGAACCGTTCCGGGCGGAATTTTATTACGGGCGGAATTTTGTACTTGTACATTTTCTTGAGATAGAATGGGGCAGAATTCAGAACTTTGATTTTTCTGTCGGGCCAAATTTCAATCTTAGTCATTTGAGGTGGAATTTTTTTACACTTAGAATTTTTTGTTTGGAAATTTTCACTGAATACTTCATTAAATCAGTACACAAGAATGGAAATTCAACAATTAAAAGAAAATTGGTGAAATAATCGAAGTGTTATTTATATCTGTTATTTAAATAGATTTTGTCAAACATTATTAATTTTCAAGAGCTAAAATCTAATGCAAAATTTTATTTAATTTTCTATATCACATTGCTTATTACATTACTAAAGATACTGAAGTAAAATGTAAATTGTATGCTATTTAATTAAATTACTACATATCTAAATACATGAGTAATTCTTCCCTGCAGTGTGTATCTATAGATTTTTAATTTCTTGGTAGCATTAAAGCAATTAATTGTTAAATAATTTAAGAATGATATTTTAACTTTAATTTATGTTTTAAATGCCATATAAAATAGTACATAATCTACTAGCAAGTTTGTTTGGAAATTTGTAGACATACATCTAGATTATTTACACTTTACTCTGCCACTTATTTTATTATGTTACAATAAACACATATACTAGTATATCAATTATTGCCATTTAGTTTATGATTGTGTACAATAAACACATATATAATCATTATTGCCCATTATATACATGCACAATTAATGTGTTAAATATAATAACCACTGTGTGCTTGATAATTTCTTACAAGTCAGGATAAATAAATACTACAGACACTAAGGTTAAGATCAGATAAGACTAATGATAAACACTTGTGTTTCCCTCTATCTGATGCATGACTAATCTCCTGATGGGGCATTCTGGTATACTGACCAGACTGTTCCATGTGATTATTAAGGTAGTCTGAGCAGTATACATTTCAAAACAATCAGTTAAGAAGGTAATTGACACTTTGATTCTCTTTCAAAAACTTATTATGATTTTCAAATTCTACATTTACTTATCATTTGATATGTTTTTACACTCAATAAATGTAAAAATAAGATGGTGGGACTGTTTTGATATTTTTGGATAATCCCTGTTTCACATAATGATGGACCTGTCCGTCCAGTTAAACTGTTGAACAATTTGAAATCTCAGATATATGGGTCAGCTGCTTATTGAATGCCACCACAAAGGATCTTGCAAAATTTTGGAGATTACATCTTGTTTTTGAATGTTGTGTACATATTTTGGAATTTTCAAAGAAAACATTTATCTAAATGTGACAAGATTGTGGAAATGTTTGGTTGTTGTAAATGAACTAAGAGTGAACTGAGGGAGGAAGATTATACAAAAGAATCATAGTAAAAAGTTTCAGGTAAACAACTTTTAGATACATTTATGCAAAAAAAGGTTATTATAAACAATCAAAATATATTGTGGCAGTAAGCAAAAATTGTTTCTATAAAATAAGGTTGATAATTATAAAGTAATGTTGATAAAACTATTATTCAAACTACATTTACATGCTGTGAATAATTATCTGATTATTAAATCTAGATGTACATGCATGTATTACCAAAATTATTTGTTTAAAGGTCATGGTCCATAGACTGGCCTCTGTCAGCTTATGTTTTACAGTGCTAAATTTCTATAAGATCTCACATGTTATAATATACATACAATTTAAATTATGAGAATATATAATTGCAGACTGGGCCATTGCAGACTGTGAAAATTTGCCAACTTAGTGTTTATAGTATCAGCAATATTTCACTACCTTGGAGTCTGAAAAGGTAATTCCATGTATTTTTAAATATCTGAACAAACCATTTTTAGAGTACAATTGTTTCCCAGATAATGTAAAGATTATCAATTTTGACACCAAAAGTGTAATTACTAAAGTACTCATAATGGGCAATTTTTTACATCATTTGCTTACTGTGAAATGATGTGGCTATAGTATTTTTGAAACTGCATTTGCTTGAGTACAGTGTTTAAACACCCCAGATGAAATATTATAATGGAACACAATTGTATTTTGCCATAGAACAGAATTTGTTTCCATTCTTTTAAAATCAATTGTATTTTTTGTCCTTAAAGGTGAACGCAACTACAAGATGTGCCTATAGTGTTTGCACAGGACGTTATCTGACATAATGAGGAAACATTGTGGTTTTGATAATCAGTTTGAAAGAAAGTTTTGGTTTGTGACAGACAACATAATAGTTGAAATCAAGGTGATCAAAGAAAGCAGCAGTACCTACAAAAGTCATGTACAGATACTTGCACAATAAAAAAGCTGTTTGTGACACTTGAAGTTAATGTAGGATGTATTCTGTATGTAGACAAAAAGGATATCTTTTATTTGTGAAGAAAAACAAACTGTGATAATTTTCATATCTTAACTTGGATTATTGAAATACAATTAGATGTGATTTTAAGAGAATAATCATATAAAAATACATGTGTGTTTACTCATAAGCTTATAGAGAAGTTTACTACATGAATATTGAATTAATTATTACATATAAACTATAGTTTTAGATGCATATCTTTAATTAAGATAGTCTAAATACAATTGTTTAGCCAGTTATTTAATTATCAATGGTCCAAAGTACATGACAAAATGGTCCTCATTAATTAAATTAAATATAATAAAAAAACAACTGTTTATTGAATTTTGCTCTGATTATTCCATGCCAAAATTATGGCCAAAATTCCGTGCCCAGATTCCGTGCCAGTTTTCCGCACGGACATTTTTCCTGCTCATTTACATATTTCGTGCCAAATTCCGTGCCATTTCCACCCAGAATCCGTGCCAAGAGTTCCGTGCCTAAAATTCCGTTCAAAATTCCGCACGGAATTTTTTCCTGCTCATTTACATATTTCGTGCCAAATTCCGTGCCATTTCCGCCCAGAATCCGCCCGTAAAATGAACCCTTATCATATACTAAAAATTTTAAAGGAATTTTAACTTTCTGGGCGTAATCCGTGCCGAAATTCCGCCCCAATTCCGGGCGTAACATTTCGTACAGGTGGCTGGACATTTGTGGTAAAAGCCTGGAAAACCATGGACTTTACTTCTATGTAGCATGGAAAGTGGAACTTAGATTTTTTTGATGCTGGAAATGTGTTAAATTTTCTCTGAGTATGCTGGAAAAAACTTGTAAAAATTACAACAAGAAATCTTACTTTATATATTCAGCACAATATTGTGAATTTACGAAGAAAATATACAATCATCATTTATTTTAATGCAAGTTACTGTAAATGATTTGAAATTTGACACTTAATACTTTTTATGTAGTTGAAAAAGGGTATCTCAGAAAAAATGTCTATGCTAAAGACATAAATGAATTGATTGTTCAAAATACGTATTATTATTTAAATAAATCTACATGAAGTTATGTACAATGAAATAATATCCATTTAATTACAGGCTTTAAGTTTGAACTATAAATTAATTAAAGTCTGTGATTAAATCATTCAGACACTATAATAATCAAGATGGGATTGCATTGCTTGCCATTTTTAAATTCTAAGAATTCATGTTTTTGGATAACAATAAATAAATAAATAAACAAATCAAAACAGTACATGAAAGAATCTCATATATATTCTATATTAAATTGATCAATATTTAGGAAAATAAACACTACATCCACTGAGATTTTACGCTACAAAGATCAGAGCTCTGATAATAAAACTCATTGACCAGCATTTTCTCACCATCTGGGCATGACTAATTTACTCCACTGCATGGTCATTCCAACAGATCAGGCTGTTCCATGTGATTATTTTGGGGAGAGATAACATTATAAATTTCATATGCAGAATGTGTCTAGAAGAGAATTGCAATCTTTTTTGTACAAAAATTTGTAATGATCTTTAAAATTTATATATCTATTAGCTATTTGATATTTTCTTTTATGCTCAAGGAATATAAGTTAAAATGATTAGTAGATTTAAACCCTGCTTTACATAATGAAAGACCTGTCCAGTAACTGTTGTAAATTTTGAATTCTAAGATATCTGGGTCAGCAAAGAGTGCATATTACAGAGGATGTACTTGATATTTTAGCAGTTTTGGAGATATTGTTTTGTTTAAGATTTTAAAGTGTTTAAGTATTGGTATGATAACAATCTGGGACAAGGAGATATACAACAGAATCACGTATTTATAAACCTTAAGTTACATCAATGCAGAAACAGGTTATATATCAAACTATCAACATTTGTAACAAAAGATCAAGGTTGTTTTTATATTTTCAACTTCATGCATTTGTTTTTCTGATAATTGTTTTTAATCTATACATGTATAATCTGTAAAATATAAATTATTCAATGATTTCTTTATAATGTATATTGTTAAAATGACAATTGTTAGTACAGATCTTTTTCATTTCCTACAAATAAAACAAATTAAATCAATTTGATTAAAAAGGACTAAATGGTACAATCAGTAGTTTTGTACAGCTGAACAGGGTCATCATAATCATTTGTTATTTTACATGTATGTGTTGTGTTTTCAATGGAACAATCTAAAATTACATTTTACATTATACAATTAACTTGCAGGCTGGGACATAAGTGCTGACTGTGAGAATTACCAACAGTGTTTAATAATGATGTGCAGTATTAATCCTGAAAAGGTATATTTTTAAATCTCAATACTTTTTTATTCCATGTCTATTCTTGAAAAAATACATACTGGGTGATAAATTTTGTCACAAATTTACTTAATTCTTATACATGTACAGAGAAATTCTTAAACACTTGTGCACTTTGAAATAAGATATACTGCATTGCTTTAGTATTTTTGAATATGCATAAGCATAGTTAATATTTAATAGTTAATACTGTTGAAACATTAGATTTGATGTTATTAAAAGATACGAAATATAACTGCATAATATTTATATGCAATAAAACATAAGTCATTACCACACCTGTGCTAAATTTATTATGAATTTTATCTTTAAAGGTGAGCACAACCATAAGAAGTTCTAGGAAACACAGGCAGAGGACTGAAAATGGACATCAATAAAAAAAATAGTAATTTAAATAATCAGAAACACTTGAAACAAATTTAAGATTAAAGCAGTTTCTCATTGACAGATTAAGAGCAAAATAATTGCTAAAAGCAAAGTGTTGGATTTATAAGACAACCAGAACCTACCAAACCTGCAGCTGGAAAAAAAATGTTTGTGCTATAGTGAATGTAGGATGTTCTATTCTATATTTGGACTAAAGGATATGTATTAAATTTTGTGAAAGAAATATGTGATCATGTTAAACTAATAAAAATTCCACCCCAAACATTCCTGTGCTGAATTCCGTAAGAGAATTTTACATTTTAAGAACATTCAGGGATGCTGGAATTAGGCTGGATTTTTTTCCATGTTATTCCATCAAGGCTGGACTATTTTCCATGGTAAAAAGTCCAGCCTCTATGGTTGGCAGACACATGGAATACCCTGGAAAAAAATCCATACTTTTGTTCCAATACTCCATGTACATGGAAAAGCATGGAATAAATTCCATGCTTTTCCATGGAAATCATGGAAAATATTCCATGCAGCATGGAAAATGTTCCATGTTTTTTCCCTGTTTTTCCAGCCCATTTTTTCTCAGCTTCAGGCTGGAAAATTTTGTTCCAATACTCCAGCCTCTTATTTTCCATGGAAATCCCTGGAAAAGCATGGACTTTTTACACCCGGGATACCAACACTAAACCAGGCCCAGAGTTTAACTTGACCTGGCCTGACCTTATACTAGTGGTTTATCACCATTACTCCATTAGTTAACACACACTGATAGATATATTACCCAATAACCAATCAATTAGCTTATATATATAATATGAAGGTTGCTCATAAACCTCTGTTTAATGTTATGATTTATGAAAAAAAAAAAATTGCCAGTTTTATGACCAACCCTCAAACTCTTATATTCACAAATGAGGTTTGTTTTTCTTCTTAAAGCAATTAATGTAGAAACAATACTTGTAAAAAGATGTCTCCATAAATTGAACCAGTTATCTTAAAGGGACTCCACTGAGTTTTTTTTTGACATGACAGGACTGGAATTATTTTTCCAATATTTATGTACTATTTGATTTAGGTTAGGACCAATAACTTGCGTGCAAATTTTCAAATCTTTCACTCCAAGCGTTTTTTCCACAATTATCATTTATATTGTGCAAAACGACCCAAAAAATGAAAAATATTGCTAAGCTTTGCACTTAAACCTCACTCAAATTGGGCTAAGAATTGTTTATTGCTAAACTTTGCACTCAAATCTCACTCAAATTTGGCTATGAATTGTAAATTGCAAAGCTTTGCACTCAAATCTCACTCAAATTGGGCTTAGAATTGTAATAAGTTTAATTCTGAATATATTTCTTTATTATCCTCTGCAATTTTTTTCAATTTTAAGTGCTTCACTAATCTTGATCTATGTAAAAATGTCAAACTTTGTTTTTCTACCTCAGTGGAGCTCCTTTTATAACCATTTCATCTGTCCCACCTACAAAACATTTAGTCAAGTTCATATTCCTTTTTGACTAAAAATAAAAAATTAATAAATTCTTTTATAAAATAAGACCCCACTTATAAAAACATTCCGGATGATCTGATCAAAGTTATAAATTTTAGGGATAGTACTGCTCAAGTAAAAATTTACAACAAAAAAAAAGGCAATGTTTTGTTTTTTTTCATTTATATGACATGAATTATCTTGGCTGTTTTTGAACAAACCTCCTTTGTATTATTTCTAAAGTAAAAAAAAACAAAAAAAAAACAAAGAAAAAAGATCCACAGCAAAAGACATCTGAAGAAACCTAGCCAAAAAAAACACCAACACAAAATCACATGTATTAAAATCTCACCCAAAAGCGTAAGAGCGAGCTGTTGGGAGAATTTCCGAGCGTGCCGACCGATCGTAATAACCGGATCGGCTTGTCGGAAAATCACCGGCGTAACTTCGTCCAGGCGATGGATAATTACTGCAAACAATTCATGTGATATGATAATGAAATTTAACATATCTAACAAAGTTGTTTTCTATAAACTATAATAAATAATGTGATATAATAAATTTTACAACATCTCGACACCAGCCTAATTTACACCTGCCTGGTCTTATGTCACAACGACACAGTATAGGTCATATGGTGACTTTCCAGCTTTTCTGGTAGAGGAAGACCCCAGGTGCCTTTCCGTGCATTATTTCAGGCATGAATGGGCAACTCAGTAGAACCAAGAAGTTCTGTATGCTAGCCAGATAGCTTCCTCACATGAAAGAATCCAAAGTCCTCGTCAGGATTCAAACCCACAGCGGTGAGTGCCAAGTGGTTTGAAGTCGTTGACTTTCACCACTTAGTCACAGATGCCCCTAACACCTGCCTTCAATGGCAAACTTGTAATGGGCTTCCTCTAGCTAATAACTATAGCTATAGCTTAATAGTTTATCAAAATAGTTTTGTCATATGTAAAAACTAACTTTCTGAGCTGGATTCAAACTTGCAGACGTGAGTGGTAAAAAGATGAGAAGTAAACAAACTTAACATCTTGGACACTTACAGACCAATCATATTGATATGATTATTGTGTTTGAGACACAGAACTCTGACATAGTCCTGGGGGAATACCTTCACCTCCTGAATTTCTGTAATGGACATGCCCTACTTTGAATTTGGAACATTTGGAGTCCATTATAATTTTAAGGGATATCATGACCAATACCAACACACTAAAGCATATAGTCAGATTGCCTGGATGTACAGGCTGGCCTGGCTCTATACTGGTGGCAAAGACGTGTAGCTTTCGGTTCCAGCAGGTTAAGGGTTAAGAACAATTTTCAAACTTGAAGTACAAAGAGATCTGGAAGAAGGATCAGATCCTTCCCCCCCCCCCCACAGCATTAATTAAATCACAATAAAACAAGCAAATTCGTTGAATTTATATCCCCCGCCGAGTACTGGTTATTATTAACACAACAACTGAAGACATAAGGCTTTATTAATATATTAATCATGGCATTAACTGTAATATTCTTTGAGCTTGAAGCCTTGTACCTTCAAACAAGAAGAAGTTTTCACTATATACATATAAGGTAAATCTATGACCCCCTGGAGTGGGGCCAATTTTGACCCCAGGGCTATAGGTTATATCATATACCAAATATCAAAGCTCTAGGCCTTGTACTTTCAGACAAGATTTTTTTATTTTGCATTTTTGAAACTCCTTTTCTGGCCCTGTGACCTACTTATGCAACAGACCGGAACCATTTGATCAACTTTTGCAGGGGACCACCATAAGATGTTGAAAATTGCAAACATTTTCTAAGTCAAGGACAATAACTCTAAAAATACTAAATAAATCCAGACGAAAATACCCAGGTGCATAACTACACATGCTGATCAACATTCCTGTAAAGTATCATGACTCTAGGTCAAATACTTTTTGAGTTACATGCGACACAAGTTGAAAAATTGCAAAATTTTACTAAGTCAAGGGCAATAACTCTAAAAATAGTAAAAATATCAGGGCTCCAGATAAGATGCGTATACGCGTAAATTACGCATGGAAATAACACGTTTACGCATTCAAAACAAAATTTAAGCGTATGAAAACGCACACAAAAATCAGGTTACGCACTGAACAACATTTCTTTCGCGTAAACGTAACCGAAAGTAAACTCTGATTATTTTATTTTTAATTTCGTCTGAACGCTTTGCAAGCGTCTACCGGTAACTTCCTGTAGTTCCGACCATCATCGGTTGTTTTCGTAAGTATAGTATGGTGGTGGAATTAACTTCGTATAAATGCCTTGCAACGTCTAACGGTTACTTCCTGTAGTTCCGACTATCATCGGTTGTTATCGTATGTATAGTAAGGTAGTGGAATTAACGCAATTTTATAAAAACATCCGGTACAATGTCGCTGTCAAAAGTAAACACGATTGACTCGTATTTTCAGCCGAAAAAAATCGACCCGAAAGTAATTGTTAAGTTTATAATCAATGAAATAATTAGCGCTGCCACGTATGAGCAACAGAAACATGTGTCAGCCTCAGATAAAACGTATGCCGTTTGGAAAGACCTGTTCCCGTGGATTGTCATAAATTCAGAAGACCCGTCACAGGTTAAGCTTAAATGTTCATTATGTATAAAATTTCAAATGAAAAATGCATTTACTACAACTGGTTCTAGCAATATTCAAAAATCAACCGTTGAGCGACACTGCGAATCTGCGGACCACCAGACTGCTACTAAAATGTCATTGAAATTAGAAAGTTCTAAAAAAGATCCTACGCTATTAGATCAAGATTCAGAAGAGATAAAAAACTGTAAATTGTTGGATTCAGACATTTTTTTGATAAGATCGGTTTACTCTCTCATGAAAAATGAATTACCATTTGAAAAACTTGATGCAATTTTGGAACTTCAACGGTTTAAATTCATTAAATATGCCATACAGAAATTTAAGCTGGACTACTATTACAGAAATTCAAAATGTAATTGCTGCTGGTTTAAAGAAAAAAACTTGTTGATAAGATCAATCAGTCTGATTATTTTGCAATCTTAATAGATGAAAGTACTGATATCACTGTTTCCAAGAGACTTTCAATTTGTGTGAGATATGTAGTCCATGGTAGTGCATATACATCTTTTCTTGGTAACTGCGAATTACCAGATGGTAAAGCTCATACTATAACTTTAGCTTTAAGTAATTATTTAAAGGAATGTGATGTTAACTTTTCAAAATGTGTTTCACTTGCAACAGATGGTGCAAGTGTCATGATGGGTAAAAAAGCTGGTGTTGGGGTACAGGTTCAAGCTAAATTTGCCCCATTTGTAATACAAACTCATTGTATAGCACACAGATTAAATTTGGCAGTAACTGACTCTATTAAACAAATTGAACCACTAAAGAAACTGAAAGAAAAATTTGCAAACCTTTACCATTTCATATCTGCATCAGGAAATAGGACATTTGCCTTAAAACAAATGCAGGGGTTGTTAGACGAGCCTAAGCTGTCTGTTAAAGAACCATATTCCATTCGTTGGCTGGGTCTTAAAAATGCTGTTGAAGCCGTCTATGAATCATATGGCGCCATACTTGCAACATTGTCTAGCATGGCCGATGAAAATTCTACAGCTAAAGGTTTATACAAGTACTTTGCTTCATATAAAACGGCATTACTTTTAGCTTTCATGTTGGACGTTCATACTATCCTGGGTGTCCTATGTTGTGAACTGCAGGCAAAGAACCTTATTTTTAGTGATGTTCCTCCCCTAATAGACAGTACTGTGGAGAAGATTGAGTCAATGAAATCAGAAGAGGGTGATGGATTAGTAGAGATGAAAAACAGCATTGTTGTGAAAGATGAAAAGGCCTTTTATAAAGGAGATGAGCTTAAATATTACAGCAAAGATATAGAATCACAGTTTTCAAATGTTAAAAATAATTATTTTAATAACTTGGCCAAAAATATTAAAAGAAGACTAAAAAAGAATGATAGTGACACTTTAATATACTTGAGTCAAGTCTTAGAACCATCAACAGTATGTCATCTTCCTGCTGATACCAGTAAAAGTGCTCTAGAATGTTTGGGAAATCAGTTTGGAGCTGAAAAAACAGTGAAACAAGTGGAAGGAGATCTGATTATAGGTATTTCAAATTGACATTTAACTGATGTAAACTTTTTCTTATTTAAAACAATAAAAACTTAACTGATATAAACATGTTTACTTGCAAGACAACATTGTCCAAAAAAAATAAACCCAAAGTTGATGAATTTATTTTTAAAGAATCTGATATCTAGGACTTGCAAAATATATTATAATGTCACTATATATATATATAATAATATTGCTTCCTGATTTATTTAAATAATAACATATTGCATTTTATATTACAGGGACAACAGAGACTGTCACCCATGTTGAGCCATTATTAGACAAAACAAAACTTGAGAAGGAGTGGAAAGGGGTTTATGGGATGGTAAAAGGCACATATAGGAACATTTCCCTCAGTGACCTGTGCCAAAGATTATGTGTGAAGCACAGTCTGACATATCCAAACATGGCTAAGTTAGCGAAAATAGCCTTATGCATGGAGATTTCAAGCACAGAGTGTGAGCGCTCATTCAGCACTCAAAACAGACTTAAGAGTAAATTAAGGTGGGACATTTATATTAAAGTCTAGACAATCTATCTTTATATTTTGAATTTATGCAGGTGGATCTACTCTAGTATATAATTTTGTTAGTAAACTAAGAAAAGTTTATAAGTAAATATTCTAATTATTTTTAATGCAAATGTACATGATTTTATGCATTCTTGAAAATTGTTCTTGAAGTATATATGTTGTTGTTTATCTCATGGCAGGTCATCACTCAAAGAGATTTCACTTGAATCACTGCTGAGGGTTAGCCTTTATGGAGAGCCAGTCTCAGAGTATGACCCTGTACCAGACACAAGACAGTGGTTGGTCAAGAATCGCAGAAGGAAGCGTCTGATGCAAGATTATAAACCAAGAGAGTCCAAAAAGCAAAAGAAATGACTGACATATCTTGTATTACAACTATGATAATGCAGTAAACATGGAAGCATAATAAATGTTTTACTCTTTTCCATACATTGTAAGGAGTAAAAATACTCCTGCCAAATTTCAGATTTCAAGTTTTACTCATTCACAAAAAAATCAATGAGTAAATACTCATTGCCCTAAAAAATTATCTGGAGCCCTGAATATCCGGACGAAAATACCCAGGTGCACAACTACACATGCTGATCAACATTCCTGTAAAGTATCATGACTCTAGGTCAAATACTTTTTGAGTTACATGCAACACAAGTTGAAAATTGCAAAATTTTACTAAGTCAAGGGCAATAACTCTAAAAATACTAAAAATATCCAGACGAAAATACCCAGGTGCACAACTTCACATGCTGATCAACATTCCCATAAAGTTTCTTTGAATTCCAGCCATTAGTTGCAGAGAAACTACTCCGGAAACGAAATTCGGACGTTTTACTAAGTCAAGGGCAATAACTCTAAAAATACTAAAAATATACAGACAAAAATACCTAGTGCACAACTTCACATGCTGATCAACATTCCCATAAAGTTTCGTTGAATTCCAGCCATTAGTTGCAGAGAACTACTCCGGAAACGAAATTCGGACGTTTAAAAAGTCAAGGGCAATAACTCTAAAAATACTAAAAATATCCAGACGAAAATACCTAGGTGCACAACTTCACATGTTGATCAACATTCCCATAAAGTTTCGTTGAATTCCAGCCATTAGTTGCAGAGAACTACTCCGGAAACGAAATTCGGACGGACGGATGGACGGACGGACGGACGGACAGACGGACGGACGGAAGGACGGACGGACAACGCCAAAACTATATCCCCCTCCCGATTCCATCGGCGGGGGATAATAACATGAAAACTGCGGACTCAGTTTGACTGAGTCTGAGCTTACAAACATAAATATAAATTACAATTATGATTATCATATATACCTAATATTAAACTATTTAATACAGATAATAAAGTTTAATATATTTCAAAATTTAACATTTCGTTTCAAGGACAAAATTAGTATATCTATACCATAATATATGCAATAGTATCATATCTATACTCTAATATTATGCAGTATTTTGTAAATATTTTCTACTAAAAATGTAACACATAAGCATGTTTTAAACCTTTTATAATTCAATTGGCTAAGCGCACCTGTTACAAATTCTTTAAATTTCTTTCTTATTCTTAAACTTTTTGATAATCACTTAATGCCAGATATTTCGGATTAATTAAAATATGCAAAATGTTTCTTTAATGCCAAAATCGTAACTGGACTTTAAAGGTTATTCACCACTAAAAGTATTATTATTATATATATGTCAGACAATTAATCATATCGTAAGTGCCGTAGGCGATGTTAAACTTACTTTCTATTTCAATGGTTGGTGATTTTAAGTAAAAACGACTCTAAACCATACTATAATGTAACCTTTTCCATTGAGCGACTTGTAAAAAAAAAATTGGTTTATGGTTAAGATATAGTGATATAGTAATACTCTTAAACAATGGATATGCAACTAAGTGTCTACGTTTCTCTTACATAAATAAAACATATGCAAACAAAAAACAGTTGGGTTTTTTTTAATTGAAATCTCAGGGCAATGTGGATCATGTGACTTAAAATAAATCGGTCACATTAAGTGCAAACAAACTGATTTTTCCATGCATTGCACTACCATAAACTAATTATACATTTTCATTCACTTTGTTACAACATCTAATTTCATTAATTATCCTATCTTTATATTCATTAAAACAATTGAGAAATGCATATCTCAAACTGCTGGAACTGGACAAGATTAACTTTTACCACCTTTAGGGCCTATACAGTATATCTGGCTGGATTCATTTTACTATTGCATAAATTATTTTAGATTTTTTTTTTTCCAAGACATAAATCATCTCCGGGACACCTCCGGGACAGACACCATATTTTCGGGACTTTCCCTGACATCCGGGACGTTATGGCATGTATTATGTACTATAGGCTGACCCCAAAAACTGCAAAGCTTGCACAGCAAATATCATCACTCATACTACACAACTGCACACAAGTTATTAAAGCACCCCAATTTTGTCAAAAATGACAGTAAGGAAAAATAAACACAGTAAAGGAAACAACATACCTTGGTCTTGTTTCCCTGTATGGATCATAACCACTGAAACAGAGAGAAAAAGAAGAACTTAGCTGATGTATACTGAACTTTATAAACTATTTTGTTCACCTTGGCCCTGAAGTGGACTCCCTATTTTACTCCCACTAATATTAAATAAAATCTCCTGTTACAGACAAGAACTGTAGTAATTTCTGTTCCTTATTTCCACACCTGATTTCATGGAAAAAAGTGTTTTCCTCTTTCATATCAATTATCATAACTGCGTATTAAGAAGAAAACAAAACAAAAACTTTATTTGCATTTAATGATTTTGAATATTTTTTCTGTCACAACTTGTGAAAATAGAATAGACAGTTTTCAGTCTTTACAATAAAAGGAGGACCATAGTCTAATTAAGTTGGCTCTCTCCCAGCCCTCCCCAACCTTTGCAGTGCATCGACATGCCCTACTGTTCATTGTTATTTTACATACATTTATATTGTATATTATATAGGTTATTTGTAAATCTAGGTCATATGATGACTTTTCAACTTCACTGATGGAGGAAGACCTCGGATACAACCTTTAACCTTTTTATCATGTAACCATGATACAACCTTCCACAACTGAGAACAATCTTCTATAACATGAAATCTTCCTCTTCCTCCAGGGAGGATTTATTATATTCTACATTAATTGAGCAGGCTATAGTAATTATTAAGTCCGTTTAGACTGTATGGTTGTCCAGGCAGCAGTACTCATATGCCGATCAAATGACCATAAGGAGGGGGCAGGGTGTCTTGACCGAGCCCCTGTAATGTGACTAGTATTGTTTAAAAACAAATGTACTCCCCCAAAAACTAGTTAAAATCACTCAAAAAGTTGGACTTACAAACTCCCTCTAGAAAATACCAAACCACCTCAGAAATATGCATTACCCTTTGTTGAAATTCTGGTAAAAAAATCATGTACTCTTATCTATATACACTGACAATACAAATACAGACAAGAGATCATTGATGGTATGCAAAACAGTTAAAATCAAGGCCACCTTAATATACACGAATGACTTAAAATAGGAAAAAAAATTTCAATGACACATTGTCTTCCGGGTATTATTACATTATTGCAAATGTATTAATGGGTTAAAAACGTTCCGACTCAATTCATTTAAAAAGATCGTAATAAAATGCTTTCTGCGCCATTTCTCCTTGTTACAATAATCATGTGTCCTATATTATAATAAATACTCTAAAAACTTGTGTCGTTTATCGGTTATAAAATATTTTTCATAGAAAAACTCCGATAACAAATCTTTATCTATATTCAGCCCAATCTTGATAACTTGATGGCATGTGAAGTGGGAAGTTTTAAACTTTTCACTATCGTTAATGCGTTTAAAGATTTTTGGATATATATACGATTATTTATATATAAATATAGCAAATAAAATCATTGAAATATGAACTCAACGGTTCAATTAATCTTAAAACAGCATGTTCCGATTTAGAAAGCACGTAACAACAAAAAAAAAATCAAAATATAAATTCATATGAAATAGTTCAAACATTAATATATGGCTATTTTTTATGGAGTACTTTTTGCTTATTTAAATAACATGCAAGTCCACATGTATACAGGAACACATGTCAGTGTCATTTAAGGAAACTATGGTATGACTGCATGCAGTTAGACTCGAACCCATTATCCATAGGTTGAGAGGCAGACAGTGTGACACCTTCATCACTAGGCAACCACTCCCCTTAGACCACCGCAAAATTAAATGCATACATTATTCTGACACTGTACATGTATGTTTATTTCAACACTTATCTACATTGTTACCTGTCAAGTCTAAACAACGTCGGTGCAATTTTTTTACTGGTAGCAAACCCCAAGTTTTTAAAATTTAAAGATGTAGAATGTTCAAATCCATGTCTTGTCATTATCTCTGATTTTCACCAGAAGACACAACAAAGTTAAATGATAAAGTTTTATTATAAAGTTTTCAAAGATGTCAAAATTTTTTTGTATTCCGAAGATATTCTACACCAGAACAAGATCACCGCATGTTGTGTTATTGCTCCTCATCCGTTGAAATTGTTCTACTTCAAAGGCAATTTTGACAAAAATTCTATTTAAAAGGCAATTTTGACAAAAATTCTAAGTGTGTAATATGATATGCTCTTTAGTTGCGTTGGTTTAACTCAGTGTATACTTGTTTCTTTGATAGGAGTTTGATGGAATGCTTTGACATGTTAACTAACATAGGCTTTCGTAGTTGAATAAAACTTATGTATATTGGCATAACTGAAAATACAGCTTTCACAAAAATGCACCTTGCGTTAAAAACTGCACCTTGTCATGATAAGCAAGTAATCCAAGTTTGGCGTTTTAAAATGTTTTAAAATGTTTTAAAATCTTTGAATAATGGGCTAAATTAAAGTTTTTTTTGCAATGAACGACAACAAAGACGACCACAACAACAATGATGCAGCGATCCTAACAACGAGACAAAAACTGTTTATCAATCAATGCGAAACAATTATTGTTAAGAAAACTTTTCAATTTCTTAATAAAATATACGACTGTCTACATTCCGAAGGGTTTATTGCTACTTAGATTAAAGTTTTAACTTAATGCAGTATTCTCAACGAGGTTTTAATCTGCAGTTTTATTGCATGTGTTATCGCATCTTTTCTCTGTGGTTAACTTCTCCAGAAGCCCAATGAGTGTTAAATTTACAACAATAGCATGTTTAGTGCATAAATATACTGACTCCTGTACAATATTGTGTTTTGTCATTCATAGATATCAGTAAGTCGCCAAGTGAATAATCCATTAAAGTAATAAGCCCCCGCACACCCCCATTACCCACACACCCCCCATCCCAACAAGCTTCAATGATGCAGAAAAGAACACAATCATCTTCTTATATTAATTGATCAATCTTCCCAAGCTAATTGATCAAAGCATGAATAAGCATCTTGAAAACTAAGAATTGCAGATCATTTGAAAACTTTTATATAACTGTAGTTGCTTCTTATAGACGCCGTGTAGGGCTCATATAGTGTATGCAACCCAACTACTCTAGCCAGGGACTGGTGATAAACATAACTGCTAAATATTCATGATCAACATTAAAACTTTCAAGATCATTGATTCAAATATTCTTAAATGTTGAAAATTGAGTAACGCTCAAGCCTGTGATAGGGGTTGTGAGGGATGTCGCACTTTTTCATTATCCCTCATGTTATTTTGTTGTGGTTTAATAATGCTTCCAAGGGATCACTTTTTATCCAGATTTTTGTCCTATAACAGTTAAAAAGTCATTTAACTAACATTGTGACCACTAGTAAAAATATTCATACGAGCCAAAGCTAAGATCTAAGATATTTTTGTTCCGGGTCAGAATCTCACTTCTTCGTAGATGGGAGAAATTGCCCATACATATTAAAAAAAGCACAACTTCTCAACTTGTGGAACAATTGGTCAGACTATAATACTGCGACTTACTTTGCATATGAACTTGTGCGGAGATGTCCTTGCTCGAAGTCTCTGTAGCCGTTCATTTCTCTAGAAACACCGGGCATTGTGTGTCAACACATCAACCTATAAAATACAACAACATTTTAGAAACACCAGTCACAGTGTGTTAACACACCTGTGTAGTATTTATACATTTTAACACCATGAATATTATAAGCTTATATTTCCTTTTCTTTTCTTTTTTTGTTGGTAGCAGGATCGAGTTTTTGTTTAATATCATACCAACACAGAAACTGGAGTGCCACTCTATACATTTTTTCAGAAGCATGATATATGGCCAGCCAGGGGGTCACTCTTTCAGATAGCTGTTAAATACAGAAGAATTTCATGCCTCTTGTGTAATTAAAACTCGCAAGCCATACGGGGCAAGTGGCTTTAGCCACAGACCTACTCCCCCAACCCCCACCCTCGAAACATTTAACAGCTTTAGGCTTATTCAACCAGCTAATTTCTACTCCATATGGGATACATCATGCTGTGAAATATTTGTGTTATCAGCTTATAAAACATACTGAGATAAGTTTTTATACCTTTACAAAAAAGAAACTCACATCGTTTTGTGGCCATGAAATTTTGTGCTATTTTTGTTTGTTTTGGTTTTTTTTTTTACAAAGGACATTTTCGTGGGTTTTTTATAATTTGTTGACACATCTACAATGTTTGTGACTTCATCAAAATATTATGACATCTTCTACTTTTGTAAGCTGAGACATTAATAAAAGTTGGGATATCACAATAAATGCTGGCTTTTTTCAACATTACCCCTGGCCCATTTATGCAACTCCATTTCACAAAATTCAGTAGCGAAATAATTAAAATCCAAAAATGTTGTATCCAGCAATAACCTTAGAAATTTATTCTGATATCCCTATAAAATAAACAATGAATACTTTCTAATTCACATGAAAGCAAATTCTTTTGAAAGAAAATTATTTTCCCAAAATGTAACAGAGAAAGGGTAAAAAATCCAGAATTCACATGAAAGAAAACTCTTTTCCCAAAATGTAATGGAAATGGGTTAAAAATCCAGAATTCACAGGAAATAAAATTCTTTTGGAGATGGGTTTAAAATCCAGAATTCACATGAAAGAAAACTCTTATCACAAAATGTAATTGATATGGGTTAAAATCCAGATTTCACATGAAAGAAAATTCTTTTCACAAAATGTAACAGAGATGGGTTAAATATCCAAAATTCAAATGAAAGAAAATTCTTTTCCCAAAATGTAATGGAGAAAGGGTTAAAATCCAGAATTCACATGAAAGAAAATTCTTTTCCCAAAATGTAACGGAGAAAGGGTAAAAATTTAAGAATTTTCCCAAACTGTAATGTAGAAAGGATTAAAATCCAAACATGTTTTGTTTGTACAAACATTTTATAGAAACTAGAGTTTCCATAAATTAACGAAAGTCAACAGTACATGTCCACTGGATTAATTTACCTTAAGGAAGGGGGGTTTATATCCAAGGAGGTTAATATCCGAGTGAATAAACAACTTTTCTGCAGGATTTACATATGATGCTTAAAGTTATATCTCCTCTGTATAAATTATATTATTTCTATCTCATGACATTGCAAAACTGCTTTATTAATATGATAAGATATGATGATAAATATATTATAATAACATCTCGAATATGTAGAACAAACAAATTTAATTTTATCTATAAAGCACTGTTGCGACACGACGTTAATTAATATTACCTTATCAAAGATACCGTATCAATATTGTGTTAATGAAACGCCCTAACACAATATAACTACCGCAGTTATTCCGTTTGTTTTATGGCACGTCACCATTTTATGACTTGAGCAAATACCGTTCATTCATAATAGATCAAAACAAAATTTTGAACTTGAACACGGATGTGTATATGCTGACCTATTTTTTCTTAACAAACCAAACTGACCAATTTATTGTATGGACAACAATGAGGTATTTTGACATGATGGGAATGAACATAATTTTTTGAGATTTTTATACCATTTGTCATTTGATGTAGGTCTATACTAACTTGCGTGCAAAATTTCAGATCAATCGCTAACTCTGTTTTATTTTCTTCAGAATTTTCATTTTTTAAAGTGCAAAATGGTGGTTTCCTAACTTGACCCACGCAGGTCAGGTTAGAGCACTAACATTTCACAAAAGTTGTCACCATGACCTCTAGAAACGTTAAAGAACATGTCAAATGAATGACTTAGACTTGTTTCAATCATACCTGATCTATATCCACAATGTCTGTCATTGTAGCTTCCAGATCATTTTAATATTTTTGTCATTTTTTGCCTGAGTATCTCTTTAAATGTAAAGGCACATTATGCCTTAGAAACAAATAAAATTTAACTTCTATAGAAAGGGCAAAAACATGAATTTTATAATGTTAAATGTTTGTTACCTGATGAAAGTTGTTTACATGTATATCCTTTAAAGCATTTATAGCAATGATTTCACATGATGAACTTTTTAATCAGAGTCCGATCATGTTTTGAGATATTTAGTATAATTGTAGTGCCCGTACACAAATCAAATCACTGTATCAATATTTGAGCTGAGTCACAACAAAACCATCATAGTGGGTTTGCGACCAGCATGGATCCAGACCAGCCTTCATATCCGCGCAGTCTGATCAGGATCCATGCTGTTTGCTATCAGTTTCTCTACTTGTAATAGTCGGTAAGAAAACAGCATGGATCCTAATCAGACTGCGCGGATGCGCAGGCTGGTCTGGATCCATGCTGGTTGCCAACGCATTATGTTGGTTTTGTCATGACGCGGCTCATTTCTTCATTTTTATTGCATGTCATTTGAACATATGTAGGATTTTATAGGTAACAAGGAGTGGATTAAACATAATATTTATCACACAGCTTAAAATTCCCATTTGGCAAATTGACTCTTTGTGTGTAGATTTTATCACAGGTCAAATGTGTGCATTTCCTGATTATCGCGAGTCAATCCTCATATACATGTACCTGTGTCAATCGAGAACGCTGGTTTTAAAAGGTTACAAAATAATGTAGAATATTTAAAGAGAAGCATCTCTTGCTTGCTAGCTTCCTTCCTTGCTCACTTCCTTGCTAGCTTGCCTGCCTGCCCGTCTGCCCACCTACCCACCTCCACCTACCCACCTTCATACCTATTTTAAAACTTATTTACTTACAAACGACTGTCTAATGATTTTAAATACTGACACCAACCCAAGAACTGGTATATGCTTGTCGCAGAAATATGCTTGTTCAAGGGTTAGCAATATAATAATTCACTATCACAATCAAACATCTCCGGTGGGGAGTATCCTCCAGGAGGGTGACATTCGATCAATCACATTTTAGGTCTTTTGTAGTTTTATATTGAAGAATATATTAAAATATAGTAAAAACCTTTTTTTCTTAATAACTTTTTTTCTTCTGAACCAATAAAATATTTTAAAAGGATTAAATCAATAATCCCTTTTAAAGTCTTATATTTCAATTACTCAGTATAAATGTAAGGTATTGGACAAAAATAATGTAAGGTATTGGACAAAAATATTATTCACTGTATTTTGCGACATTTGACATGCTAATAGATGTTATTCGGAACTCGGCAAATGTGGGTTTTTCCCAGTTTATATATAGGTACATGAACAAACCTTTAATACCGTTATAGCTTAACAGTGCACTTAACGTCACAATAGATTAGTCAACCTGTTGCGCTTATTTTCTAAGCTGTAACTGTAAAAGTTTGTTTGTACATGTACCTACAAATTAGCTGGGAAAACCCCAAATAATCATAATTCCGGAGTTAGTCTATTATTCATCTGTATAACAAAAAGAAATCTTTATATCTGAAAAAAATTGGTCTTTTAATGAAAAGAGGTAAATTAAAATGTCCGCTGCGATCATGATGTGACAACTACATTCAGCTAAAACTGTTGCATTTCGGTCAACTACATGTAGTACTGTTACGCTACAGTGAACAAAGGCAGTTATTCCCCTTGTGTAACAATTGACAAAAATGTCTGAAAAAATTGTTGAAATGCTGTTACTTGAGAAGCTTATTTAGTTATTATATCCACTATTAAGGAAGTAAATATTTGAAAGAAATTTACATAACAACATGAGCAAGATAAATTACAACTATTTAGGTATCATCATCTAATCAACAGAAAAGGTAAAAATCTCAATTAATAAAATACATGTACAGTATGTCTAAAATTTACAAATGCCTCATACATGTATGTAAGCTCTCTGAAAATTTATTTTTCCATTGACCATCTAAGAACAATAACGTGAGGCCTAAGGATAACATGTTAGAAATTTTACACTCATGATACCAAGGGTTGACCACAAAACTGACATAACTTATATGAAATAAAGAAAGACTTAAACAACAGTTTTGCGGTCAACCCTCAAATCATTGCTCAAAACTGGTTGGTTCCAGGAACAGATTTCACACTGTCTATAACCTTATAGCTTCCTGCACATTAGCAAAACTAAAATAAAATATGCCTAAACTGAGGACAGGTCCAGACCAACAGTCCCGAGTAACAGCACAATCACTACTGGTCCACCTTGAAAGGTCGGACCAGACTGTAGATGAAACAATGTTTATGAATATCAAAAGATGAGCTACCCTGTGCATGTAGAATCAACTCAACCTTGGCTTTGTTAATTGGCCTCTTCTTCATATGCACATACATTAAAGGGACTCCACTGTGTTTTTTTTGACGTGATGGGACTTAGAAATATATTTTTTGAGATTTCTGAACTTATAAGTGTTTGAACTTACAAGTGTAGGACTATATTAACGTTAATTCTTGTCAAAATTCATATCATATGCACACTCTTATATTTTTATTTTCAGTATTACCATTTTTATTTTGAAAAATTATGTAAACAGTTAACTGGAAAATGTTTAAACACTTTGAACTCAAAGTGGGCTGTTAATCTCACTAAATATCAATCTTTAATTCAATTCTGAGTATTTTTCCCTATTACCTTTTTCATAATTATATTTCCATTTAAAGTTCCCAGTAAGATTTAAATAATATTATGTGTTTTGGCTTTTGAACCTATAAGT